GGCTTCGTTTTTCGTTGATCGATGTGTTTCTCTGAAAATAGTACGTGCTCTGGCACGGAGCTTCATGAGAAATTGCACAGCGTACTTGATACGCACTTTGAAGCTTCAGTCAGAGTCAAATGTAACATCACTACTCTGTGCACTTTCCCTGTTTCCTGGATCCTCTCCTGCCAGCTGCAACTGAGGTGTGTCCATCCATTCCCTTCGTTCATTCCCCTCTCAGCTATATTCAAGAAAAGACTGTTACTTTCAGTCTCCATATCATCATCACTCATTGCTCTGTTTCATTCAGATTCCTGCCTGCTTTAACTCACTCTCTGCCGCATAAACTCATGTAAAACTGTTCTCCAGTTGTGCTCTCTGAGTCTGCATAATATTACAGTCATCTTGTGGCCCACAGAAATTTGCTGAGGCCCCCTTGTGGGCTCCTGCTCCCTGGTTGAGAACAAGTTGTCTAATGCTTGTCTCTGTGTTAAGGCACAACCTGGACTCAAGAGATAGTGGATCTTCTGCTGCACAATGGAGATGCTGAGGTGTGCAAGAGAGCGCCGACAGTTGTCCGTATACCATTTCTGGAAATTTTCTCTCCTCCACCTATACCATCAGGTACACATTTCTGTGCATTCTTCATCTCTACTTATCACAAGGTTTTTGTGATATGAAGAATGTGTCAGTGCACCTGCGTCTACACCACTCATGTCTTGAACATTTTTATCTTTTATGCTTCATTCAGGGCTTGACTTACTTAGACAGATGAAACCACCGAGAGTAATCAAGACTCACTTACCCATTCAACTAGTGCCTAAAGGATTCTGGGAAAATAAATGCAAGGTAATAATTTAATTGAAACAAATTTCAAACACAAGGTCAAATTTGGGTTTATTTTCATTCTTCCTATCCAAAGCAAAAGATAACAAAATGACCTGTCTCTAGAGTGTTCTGGTAATAGGTACTCGGCAATATAATGTTTAAACCCCTTGATTTGCCTCTGACCACAGAGTACCAGAAATCATGTCCACTAGCTGCTCTGCCTGCTTTTCCCCAGGTCATCTATACAGCCCGAAATGCTAAGGATAATCTTGTAAGCTACTTCCACTTTGAACGTATGAATCTTACCCAGCCAGAGCCAGGACCTTGGGATGGATACATTCACAAGTTCATGAAGGGGGAATGTGAGAGAAAACTACATATTTAAATGCAGAATGTAATTTAAACCTGGAATCTTTACTCTGTACTCGAATGTTTTTACAGTAGGTTGGGGCTCTTGGTATGACCATGTCAAAGGTTACTGGAAGGAATGCAAGGAAAAGAATATTCTCTACCTGCTCTATGAGGACATGAAGGAGGTATAGTTTTAATCCAGTATATCCTTTCAAGTCCTGTCATTTTGCTAAAATCTGACTTATCTTTTATTTTATATCCTTTTTTTAGACTAACTTTCTTGTATCTATGTTTTTCTCTTTTCCTCTCACCAAGAATCCTGTTAGGGAGATTAAAAGAATCATGCACTATCTGGACCTGTCTGTTTCTGAGGATGTCATAGAAAGGATTGCGCAGTTGACATCCTTCCAAGTCATGAAAGACAATCCAATGGCTAACTACTCCTTCATTCCGAAACCTGTGTTTGATCAGTCTATTTCTGCCTTCATGAGAAAAGGTTAATATAAAACCATACTAGAAATTCCTTATTAGGAGTGTGACAATGCACTTAGCACTGTAAAAACTTTTGCTTCAACTCAACTCCGTCATACTGAAATCACTGTTTCACCTCACAAGATCTCATCAGTACAGATGAAATGACACTTATTAGATGATATTTATTCTTAGTTATTTATACTTTTAAATGTTTTTAGTTATAGAATGAGGAGCAGGACCTAATATTTCCCCAAAAATAAGACTGGTGTTCCCCCCTTAAAGGGGGGGTTGACTGCGATTTCACTTTTTTCATTTTAAATAGTGTGTAATGTTGCTGTTGATGCATGAACAGTATCTGCAAAGTTGCAGCGCTGAAAGTTTAGTGTAAGCAGAGATATCGTCTTTTAAAAATCAGGAAGTATATTGCCTACAAAAACAACTCAATTGGGACTACAGCTGGGTTTTAGAGGTCACTAACCCATACATTTGCATCAACCCTCCCTCCGGAAAATGCAAAAAAGGGCATGGCATATTTCTGCGGCTCGTCAAATTTTGTTGTTCACGCAGCTGTCAGGTCTTCTGTGTTCGAGCTTCCCACGGACGCTGTACTTCGTCAACAATGGATACAATTTTTGTTTGATTATGTTCCTGAAAATGACGATCGTAATCTAGCTCTCTGTGCTGCGCATTTTACTGAAGACAGCTTCCAGAATCTCCACGAGTTCAATGCCGGATTCAACAAGAAACTGTTACTAAAAAATGAAGCAGTTCCGACTTTAAAACCAGAGGCAGCCGTTGTTGGGCCACAACCTGTTAGTAGGCTAAGACTTCATCATTTTAAATGTATTTGCGTGTATTATTTCACACGCAGCCTTGTGTTTTATTTTTTTCAAATGCCAGCGCTGGCTTTATAGCTACTAGTTATGCTATTTTGTGTCTACGACAAACGCGTACAAACATTATGGACCTGAATTTTGTATAAGTACTAAGTTGTAAATGCATTTTTCATGTATATGTTTTATGACGTTATTTTCGATTTGATCAAGAACGTAAACTTGCCAACGCTGTTTGAGTATAACATTAGTAGCCAGTCAGATGCTATTGTGTAAAACAAACGTGTATAAAGTAAAAAAAAATGTAGCAAATTATCATTCAGAAACGTTTAGTAAGAGCCGTGTGTGGTGAGGTTCTGCTTGACTCTCTTCATCGCGGCTTTCTCGTTCTGATTATGCCTCTGATTATGCCTGTGATTATGTCTGATTATGTTTGTGTAAGAAAATTATTTATATTTAACACGTTACAAAGTAAAATTCTAGCTTCCGGCCAAATGAACACTTTGTAAAGTTTAAAGTGTACTTGTAAAGTGAACTACTCCTTTACGCTCATTTAATCAGTATTAGGGAAACAAAGGAAATTCACAACAGCTGACAAGCTCCACCCACAATGCCACATACCATAGAACGAAGTTTGAGATGAGCAAAATCTGCATCAAACTATGGAGTTAGAATTGTTGCATTATTCCAAATAAATAGATTGAGATTCAAAAACAAATGTAAAGAGATTCACAAAAATGTGTCAAATTCACAAATAAATACAGTAGATTGAGATTCACAAACAAATGTAAAGAGTAGTTTCACAAAAATGGATAAAACTTTCTGTGCATTTGCACATCACTGCGCACATTTGTGAATATCTTCTTTTGCATTTGTAAATCCCCTCATGCATCTGTGGATTTTGAAACACTTTTAGCGTCGACGTGCAGACAAATCCAATAGGTGGACTCCACCCCCTTTCCTCAAGCCAATCAGAAAACGGACACATTGAACTGACCAATCATAGCAAATAAAACAAAATGCATTTGATATAATTATAAGTATGATATAATTAATTATGATAAATATAATTAACATGACAAAGTGTACAAAACTAAAGTAGCCTAAAACATTTTTTAATTTTTTTTTTTTACGTTTCTGTCAGTCTAAGGTTACGGTCTTGACTGGCGGGGGCAAAAACTGATAATTCCGGTCCTTGGTTCTGATTGGTTAAGCCGTGTTCGAAGCCATTGTAAATTACTCAATAAACATACACCTGTGACCACATTACATTAGGATTACTGCGCAAATTTGTGATTCTTCGTTGCTGCCTCCATGTGTTGCTTGGCAACCTCTTTCGAACTAAATTGTTTGGCGGAGGAATAAATGTGTTAT